AATTTGTTCAGAACCTAAACAAGTACCAGACAAGATTGAAAAAAAAAATAATCTTTTCCCTCAGTGAACTTACATTCTGTAGTGGGAGTACGTATAGTGTATGTATGTACAGCATGTTAAAACCTTAAAGCATTTTATAAATTGCAGCCATTGTTATTATTATTACTGCAGTATATTAAATAATATGCCTTTGTGTTCATATGCAAACAATAGGCAAGCTTTTAAGTTTTCGTATGCCTATATACACTTCTGCTGTTAAAATTTTTATTAGCTGGCATGGTGGTGCACCCTTCTGCTGGGAGGATGAAGCTGGTGTATGCTTGAGCTTGAGAGTTCTGAGCTACAATGGTCTAAGTTGATCAGATGTTCATACTAAGTCTGGCGCCATTATGGTGAAGGAGGAGGGCCACCAGGCTGCCTGTGGAGGAGAATACTAGACTATGTTAGAAACAGAGCTGGTGGAAGCTCCCATCCCCATCAGAAGTGGGATTGGTCAAGGATTAGCTACTATACGTCTATCCTGTGTGAGACTGAGAGATGTTGTCTCGTGATAAATAAAAATAAAATTTTTATTAAAGAGTTTTTTGGAGGGATGGCATTGTCTCTCTTCTTATTGACTATCCCTGGGAAAGAGCCTTTTATCAGACATGTATAGGCAGATAAAAGGAAGCTATTCAAAGTCAGGAAAAAGATGAGAAGACACAAGAATCACCACAAATAATGACTAGCTGTCAACATCCAGCCTGTCATTGGAGAGTATGGGACTTAGAAATAACATTAAGATTGTGCATTTATACTGCCTCCTCTCTCCATGTTCAAGGTATCTCTATTAGATATTTATGGAATGTCTTCCATGTCCTTAATTCAATTTAACAGATGTTTATTGCCTACTGTATCCTAGGCACTGAGAATAGAGAGATGGAAAAACCAGTAAATCCCTGCTCTCAGAGAGCTTGCCTCTACCCAAATAAGCAGAAAACAAAGTAGAATATGTTAGGGGAAAAGAAGAGATCCAGATAAAGTACTCTAGGCTGCTAGGTGGCACACTGGATAGAATGCCAGGCCTGGGGTCAAGAAGACTCATCTTCCTGAATTCAAATCTGGCCTCAGACACTTATTAGCTGTGTGACCCTGGGCAAGTCACTTAACCTTTTTTGCCTCTGTTTCCTCATCTGTGAAATGAACTAGAGAGGGAAATGGCAAACCATTCCAATATCTTTGCCAAGAAAAATGGGGTCACAAAGAATCAGACATGACTGAACAACAACAAAAAGATGAATAAAGTAATCTAGACCAGTTGTGGCAAACTCAAATAGAAACAAGGCCATTGGGGCAGCTAAATTAGCGCGGTGGATAGAGCTCTGGCCTTGGACTCAGGAGGACCTGAGTTCAGATCCAGCCTCAGACACTTGACACTTAGTAGCTTTGTAACCCTGGGCAAGTCACTTAACCCCGATTGCCTCACCAGAAAAGAAAGAAAAAAGAAAAAGAAACAAGGCCACTAAACCGTAGAGTACCTAAAGGCTACATTTTTATTTAGAAAGCCTCATATTGACATTATCTATGTTCTATTTTAATTTACTTTGCTAAATGTTTTCCAATTACACTTTAATTTGTTGGTAGCACTCAGGAGTGTTGCAGGCCGCAAGGTGCTGCCTTAATGTTTGATGGCTCTTCTCTAGATAAATTTGAGAAAGGAGAAATCACTTTTAGCTAAGTGATTAGGTGCCTGAGGTGGACCTTGAATGAAGGGAAGGATCAGCCATAGGAGTAGTGTGTTCCAGGGATGGGCTCGGGCCGTCATGAAGTTATGGACGATAGGACAAACAAGATCCAGGGAGGTTGGTGGGGCGCGAGGGGGGCGGGAGAAGCTAATTTGGTTAGAATATTATAGTAAAGGGAACAGTGTAGGTAGATTGGTAGCCAGATTCCTGGGGACTTTAACATCCAGGCTAAGGAGTTGATGTTTTATCTATAGTCAATAGAGAGCCCCTGGAAGTTTTTGAGCAGAGGAATGACCTGGTCTGACATGGGCAATGGAACATGCCCATGCAAACATGCAAACGTTAGACTTGAAAGGGAAGAGACTAGAAGCAGGGAGACCAGTTAAGAGATGAATTGGAGAGTACAGGCAAGAGCATTCTCAGACTTGTGCCTTGAAAGAAAAGGAAGTGGATTCTTTGTGATTATTTTTTCTTTCAGCATATCATTTTTGTTAGTACGGCATTTATTAATGGGAGTAGAGAATCTTGCAGTGGGTTTACAGAGGCAAATGTTAAATTGCATCCGTGTTATGTAAAACAACAGATGGGCTGACTCAACCTTTTAGCTTTTCTTCCCACGAAGTTCTTATGAACCAGTTCCTTAGCAAACATGTTTTCAGTAACTCTTTGGCAAACTAGAAATTCAGTGAAGGAGGATGTGAGCCTTAGAACCAAGAAATATCAAAATTAATCTGATTTTTAAAAAGAATAAGTGATCAAGTCATGAAGTTTGAACCTTCTGTGTAATCTGGGCCAAAATATTACTAATTGCTTCATTCAGAAATGAATATTTTTTAATAGAAGCTGTCATTTATTTATTGTATATTCAGAATAAGCCAGTTTCTTTATGGTAAATGACTTAGATTATATGAGTAAAGTACAGGACCACATCCAAAGTTGTTTGTTTGTTTTGTTTTGTTTTTCCTGGGTTAACTGATAAATTCTCTTTTTAAAAATTTTGCCAGTTTTAATACCTCTGACACATACTAGCTATATGACTACGGACAAGTCAGTTAACCTTTCAATGTCCTATGCATTTCTTAAGAGTGTAAGATGTAGGTGTTTTGTTGATCTGCAATGGTGGAGGGCATTTCTACATTTGGAACTCCCTTCACTGATGAAAACACAGCTCCAGATCCCTCCCCCCAACTCTCCCATCCATAATATTAATTTAAAAGAAATCCATTGAGAAGCACAGAGACATGGAGTTTTTCTGTTAGTGATGCTTATGGTTTAGCTCTCATTTCAGTACCCCCCACCCTATGGTCTTGGCTTTAATTACTAGCAGTTCCCTTCTAAGCCAGGAACCAAAGGGGAGTACATGAATTCCAAAGTGAAAGGTGATAACTACACAACTACAGAATCATTAAAGTTAAACTCTCATTTATGTAAAACAGTGTTGTTGTTGTTGTTGTTTGTGTGTGTGTGTGTGTGTGTCTACGTATATGTGTATATTTATAACAGCCTGTTTACATGTGCTACCTTTTGTTTATCTTGAATTAATTTTTTTAATACAGAAATAGCATAGAAGAGATATGGGGGGAAAGCAGCAGACCAGACAATATGATAGGCAGAGGTGTACATGACCTTATTAAAGTAGAAACATGGAAAGGCAGAATTTGGGAAGGAGGTGTGACAGGTGTACCAGGAAAGAGAAAACCTCTGAAACGTGGCCAAAGTAAAATATCCTTACTGGACTATATGTAAACCACATCCAGTTTTTACCTATGCTAAAATTACTTTAAGGGCATAGCATCTCTAAAATGGAAAATAGATGAAAATTTCTCTTTAAGGGCTCTGATTAGTTGTATAAAGCTTGAACCATGTACACTCAATGGCAACATGGGCATAGTGGAAAGATAGATGACTGGACTTGGAGCCAAGAAGTCCTGGATTCAGATCCTGCCAAGATACTTTCTAGCCTTATCACCCTGGACAAATTACTTAACATATCTTGGCCTCAGTTTCCTCATATGTTAAATGGTGATAATAGTACCTACCTCCCAGGGTTGAGGATCAAATGGGAATGAAATGTTTTGCAATTCTTAAACATTTATGGTTGGGTATTAGTATTATTATTATTATATACTCTTATAAGTTTGAGTTGATTTCTTGTCTTTGGAATTGATGTGTCAAAAACACTTATAGATGAGTGTCTAAAAGCCAGCCATATGCTATTTGTTAATGGCATGTGAAACTTCATATCAGACCCATTGGAAGGTATTAGAGAGAAAATCCCTTTTTTTAAGATAAATACATTAGTGAATACTCTGACTTTTGAAGCACTAGAAAAAAAATAATTGTTGGCATTAGTGTGAACCAGTTGGGAAATATTGGTAAAGCATTAAAACATCGCCAAATAATCCTGAAGTGCTTATACTGCTCACAACCATTTTGGGTTTGCACTATATACTTTCTGTAGGGTTTGCATTGTTTTTTATGTCCTCAGAACCTGCAATCTTTCTATCTCTCATGTAGAATTCTTCTAGAGTTAATGCCCTTAAAGACAACAGAGTTTAAGTTAGTATGGGCCAGTGAGGTACCATATACTTTGATTTCTTCATTAAATATCTCACACCCTTTAAAGTCCTAGCTTCTTAGTCCTCGATGCATTATGGGTATGGTGTTTTCACAAGATGCATAACAGAAGTGATTGAGAGAAGAGCCAATGTCAGTTAGTTGAATAAGCCCATTAAGTACTTACCTCTTGCCGGGCATTGTTCTAAGTGCTGGGGTTACTAAGAAAGGCAAGGTGCTCACATCCAAAACATAATGTACAAGTAAACTATAGATAGAATAAATTGGGGCATAACCTCAGATAGCAGATACTAGAAATATAGGAGATTGGGAACCTGTAGAAGGTAGGATTTTAGCTGGGACTTGAAAGAAGTCAAGGAAACCAGGAGGTGGTTCTGAGGAGGGAACCCCTTCCGTGCATGAAGGCTATCCAGTAAAAATACCTGGCTTTGGGAAATTCAGCATCAGAGGCAATGTTCTTGCTTTTTTTTTTTTTAACTTTACCCTAAAACACTATTGACAAATCGCTTAAGTACAAGGTCAGTTCCCCAAACATCTTGTTTCATAATATCTTGCATAAGGGAAATGTAATACTTTGGTTTGGTCATTATTCATGCAGTAATGCCACACAGATCATGTGTGATCTTAAGCCATCTGAAACCTGTGATAATTAAATGTTGGTGTTAATAGGTTGTTTTGTTTTTTTCAACTCCCAAACAGAACAGCATTTTTCAGATGTGGTACTTAGTGAGGAATTCCTCAATCTGGGCATAGAACAAGTATGCAGCTTAATATCCAGTGACAAGCTTACCATTTCCTCAGAAGAGAAGGTAAGTAGTGCCTGCTGACCCACCCCCACTGGTCCCCTGACCCCCAGAATACTATTTGGGGTATTTCTTACCCTTCTGTTAATGTCTTTCTGTAAATGTCTGTCAGTGTCTATCTAACAAATATTCTCTACCTTACATAGACAGTGAGAAAAAGGATATAGGCATTTCCCTGAAAGCTAAGAAAACCAGCTGCCTCTACTGCTGACTCACATTACCAATTATTGCGTATTTGTGAATTTCTCAGAAGAGTTGGTTCCTGACACTCTTTGTCCTCCATCTCTTTGTCAAATGGGTTTTGAGAGTGTGGGTGCCTTTAATAGTTGAAAGATTATTGCTTCCCACAGCCATGTTTGTCCAAGAATGTCTGCCTGTTAGAAGTATGAGCTTAAAAAACATTCCTGACCTGAAGGAAATCTTAATCACCTGGGATTCTAGAGGAGTTCCAGATACTGGCCCCTCCTAATCTGACACTGACCCCACACTTCCACCCAGCACTGCTCCCTTATCTGAGAGTGGTTATTGTTCATTCTAGAGAGGTAAAGGGTAGAAAGAATTCAGGACTTGGAGGTTATTAAGGGGTGTAATAGACCACTGGACCCAGAGTCAGGAAGACCTAAGTTCAAATCCAGCCTCTGACACTTACTAACTGTCTGATGCTGGGCAAATCACTTAACCACTGCCTGCCTCAGTTTCCTTATCTGTCAAATGGGGATAATAATATCACTTAGCTCCCAGGCTTGTGAAGATCAAATGAGCTAATATTTGAAAAGTGCTTTGCAAAATATAAACCTCTACATAAATGCCAGTTGTTATTGATATTGTTAATTGAGAGATCTGGTTTCAAATTCCACATCTGATGCTTACCGTGAGCACGAGCAAGACTTAGTCTTGGTTTCCTCATCTGTAAAAGAGAATGATAATGCATGAGGTACCAACTTCATTGGGTTGTTAGGAAGATCCAGTGAGAGACTGTATGTAAAACAACTTTGCAAACCTTAATGTGCTTTATAAATAGTGAGTTATTGCATTCAATCTCTTACCACTCCAAATCCTTGTTCTCTTCACGATTCAGCTTCCCATTCTCTCTCAGAACAATGTTCACTGTCTTCAACCACCTTCTCTGATTTCTTTATTTCTTTATTTATCTTTTTTCCTTCTGAACCCTGATCCCTCCTCACATTCTTTCATCCTTGTCTCCCCTCAAGCCAACCCCATTTATGTCTCAGTTCAGCACTGCTCAGCCTTTCCACTGTGTCCCTTGAAATTCCCATTCCATAGTGAACAAACTCCCTTTGGACCTCTCATCTTTCCTGAACCTCTCATCTTTCCCTTTACTCTCTCATTAACTTCATCAGCTCCCACAGGTTTAATTATCAGCTCTCTGAAAGTGACTCCCCGATCTACATAGTCCCTTTCTCTCCCCTGAGCTTAAGTCCCACATCAGAAATTGTCCACTGGGCATTTCAAACTGGATGTTCTGGAGGCATCTTTAATTCCACACATCTAAAACTGCATTATCTTTTCCCCTAAACTTTCACCTCTCTGTTTCTATCAAAGCCACCACCATCTTCCTAGTTTCTTTGGTTTACAAGCTTGACTTTATCCTGAACCCTTCTTTATTCTCCCATGCCCCACATATCCAGTCAGTTGCCATATCTTGCAATTCCCACCTTAACAGCAACTCTTAAATCTGACCCTTTCTCTCTACTTGACAGAGTGCCACCTTAGTTTACACTCTCATCATGCTTCACCTCGATTACGACAACAACCTCTTCATGGGTTGCACTGCCTCAGTTTTCCCCTACTCTAATCCATCCAACATAACCTCCACTAAAGTGATTTACCTTAAGTGCATACCTGACCCTGTGACTCCCCTGTTTGACCAATTGTAATGCCTCCTAGTCCCTCTAATATCAAATCTAACCTCATTTATCATTGAAAACCTTGCACAGACTGTCCCCCGCCTATCTTTCCAGCTTCATTTATCCCGCATTCTGCGGGAATTTATTGAACTAGTATTTATTGAGCACTCACAATGCCAAATACTGTTTGAGATACAAAATTACACACGGCAAACTGCCCATCCTAAAGTGGCTTATAGTCTAATGGGACAGAAGATTTGCACAAATATTTACAGTCCAAGATTATCTTGGAAGGGTGCAGTTGGAGTGGTATCAACCCAGTGCTGTCATGGGTGAAATAACGTTTGAACTTAGCCTTGAAGAACTGGGAGGATTTCTGAGGCACAGTCTGATCTAGGGCAAGTGGCTAGGGCGGTAGAGAGGGGTGGGGAAAAGAGAAAGCCTTTTAGATAGAGGGAGCAACCCAAGAAAATGCAGTTGGTTAACTTCAAAGGACATATGAAGGAAGATTCTGTCTACATCCAGATAAAGAACTGATGAATGGAGTATGTATAGAATGATTTTACGCACACACATACACACACACACATTTGTGTCTAATGGTAGCCGTCTCTAGGGCGGATGGTGGGGAAGGGAAAAAAAAGAAAAAATTTACATAACTTTATTATGTATTTAAAAGGAATAGTAAGTTATACATAATACATCTGGAGCTTCATGTGCAATCTTTTTTTATTATACTGTGTTATGGAAATGCTTGTTTTATTCCATAAATTTAAAACTAAATAAATAAAAATTTAAAAAACAAATAAAATGTAAATACTAAAAAAGGAAAAGAAAGTACAGTTTGTATTCAGGGAAGGGCAATTGATTCATGTTGTCTGAAGTATAGAATTCATATTGGAGATTGATGGGTGATAAGATTAAAAGGTTATTATGGACTCAGTTATGGATGAAGAGGGTACTTCAGTTAAAGGCTACAGAATTCAAAGTTTATTCAGTTAGCAGTAGGCACATGTGAAAGGGTTTTGAGTAGAGGAATAGCATCATCGCATCTGTATATAAGAATGAGTTCAGCTGGTATGGATGTGAAGGGTGGATTGCAGTAGTGCCTCCAGACAGGGAGAACAATTAGAGATTATTGCAGTAGTCAGGCAGGTAACCGAAGGCATTTGGTGCCAGGAGATGGAAAAGAATGGACATATGTAGGCAGAGCAAGAGCTCTTTCAAAAGAGCAGACCTTGGAAAATCAGTCAAGGTGACCTTAGCCTCCATTTTCTTATCTGTGAAATGAGGTTTTTGGACTTGATGGCGTCTGAGAACTCTTCCAACTCTGTGGTTCCATGATCTGCGTAGAAGCAAGGACAAAGGCCATGGGAACAGAGGAGACGGCTAAGAAGATAGCAAGGCTAAAGGTAAAATCACCACCGTGTTGGAGTGGTGGTGTGAGGAGGAAGAGCTTGTGAAGGAGACAGGAAAAGTCAGTGTGGTGCTGGCAAAGCCCAGAGAGGCAGCCGGGTAGGATAGTCCACCATCTCAGAAATCAAGGGGAGGGGAGGTTAGAGAGTTCAAGAAGCAGTTGATGCTTAATGGTGTCTGATGCTGCAGAGATTAGAAGGAAGATGAGGAAGCCGTGAGGTTCTATCCCCCAGAGATCACAAAATGGGAAAAAGACCCACGTGTACAAGAATATTTATTAACACTCTTTGTGGTAGCAAAGAATTGAAAATTGAGGGGATGCCCATCAATTGGGAAATGGCTGAACAGGTTGTGGTATATGAAGGTAGTGGGATATTATTGTGTTATAAGAAATGATGAGCAAGATGCTCTCAGAAAAACCTGGAGAGACTTACATGAACTGATGCTGAGTGAAGTGAGCAGAACCAGAAGAACATTGTACGCAGTAACAACAACATTGTGCAGTGATCAACTGTGATAGACTTTGCTCTTCTCACAATGTAGTGATCCAAGACATCCAAAAGACACGTAACAGAAAATTCTATCCACATCCAGAGAAAGAACTGTGCATTCAGACTGCAAATGCAGATTGAAGCATACTATTAGTCTTCTTTCACAGCATGACTAATGTGGAAATATGTTTAACCTGATTGCACATGTATAATCTGTATCAGATTTCTTGCTGTCCTGGGGAGGGGAAGGAGGGAACAAATCTGGAACTCAAAATCTTACAAAAATGAATGTTGAAAACTATCTTTACATGTAATTGGAAAAAAAATACTATGAAGGGCAAAAAAAAAATTACCAAGGACCAACAAAATATTGAAAAATAAAACAAAAACCACTCAACCAAAAACATTTAAAAAAAAAGTAATTCCAAGAATCATGGAATAAAAGCCAGATGTTATTGTTTCAGATGTTCCAGTCATGTGTAACAATTTGTGACTGTATTTGGGGTTTTCTTGGCAAAGGTAGTGGAATGATTTGCCAGATAGCAGGGGATTAAAAAGTGATGGTAGCTAGGTAGTGCAGTGGATAGAGTGCTGGTCCTGGAGTCAGGAAGATTTCTCTTCTTAAATTCAAATCCAGCCTCAGACACTTACTAGCTGTGTCACCCTGGGCAAGTCACTTCACTCTGTTTGCCTTAGTTTCCTCATCTGTAAAATGAGGTGAAGAAGGAAATAGCAAACCACTGCAGTATCTTTGCCAAAAACAAACAAACAAACAAAACAAACAAACCCCAAATGGGGTCACAAAGAGTTGGGACAACAAAAGCTAAAGGAGTAGAGTCGGTGCATCTAAACTATTTCACATAGAGATTTAAGGTAGAAAGAAAAGAAAAAATATAGACAGTTAAAAGGTTTTATTTTGCTTTTTAAAAATATTAGATTTACTAGCTGTGTGACCCTGGGCAAGTCACTTAACCCCATTGCCTAGCCCCCCCCCCCCAAAAAAAAATGTTAGAAGTGTCTTGACCACCAAATATATGAGAGAACAGACTTTTGATTTGAATGGATCATAGGTCAGACCATGGATTGGAAAGCATCTGGACTAGAGGTCATGTAGTCCAACACCCTCATTTGACAAATGTGGAAAACGAAACTTGGTTCTCCAGATGACTTGCTCAGAGTAGTCCTAGCTGGGGCACAGCAAGGATTCAAAACCAGATTATAGACTTAAAAA